ATATTTTTCTACGGACCTTCAGGGACCGTCCAATCTCGGGTCCGGGTCCGTTTACCGAAAATGTTGACCAAAGTCAACTATAATCATATTAATATCAAAATTCTTCAAATTTTTCACGGAATTCACATATTTCAAACATAAAAGCTTTCCGGCTACGCGCCCGGACTGCGCACGCAAATCGAGGCAAGTAAAAAATGAGGTTTTAAGGCCTCGAAAGCACGGAATGGATGAGGAAATAGGTGATGACCCTTTGGGTCGTCACAGTTATGAAAGAGATCACTTACGACAACACGAATCGCTGCACAACAGAATAAATAAATTATTTAATTAAAGTAACATGGACTCATCAAAATATCAATAAGCCAGAAAAACATCAGGGTAACCCACCATGGAAAAAGTTCGACTTGCCAGATCCATTCGCGCCAACTGCACACAGAAGAAAATTTAAAACATCTCTCAGTTCAAACAAAAATGGGGCACACTAAACTTCACCAAGGTATAAATGACATTACCAACACAGTTAACTTTCGGACTGAAATCTGCAGTGGCTACTTGTTCTCGATAGCTCTTAAATCCTTCGATGATGACCTACAACAGAAGAAATACACCCATACAAAAAATTGCTAAGAAACACCCTTGCAAAATTAGCATCCAAACAACATGTATATTGATCGACACAATTAATTGTTTACACATATTTAGGGCCATAGATTAATAATTACCTGTTTTATATACATGTTGACAGTCCCTCACTATTCTATCTCTGCAGAAACAACAGCAACCGAACAAAAAATTAAATAAACAAAATTCAAAATTACCAAAATCAAATAATATTACTCTTACGAGAACAACAACAACAACAACTAAGAAGCCGAGTAAATCCCCACAAGTGGGGTCTGAGCAGGGTAGGATGTACGCAGCCTTATCCCTACCCTTGAAGGGTAGAGAGACCGTTTCCGATAGACCGTCGGCTAAAGATTAAGATTCATAAAATTAATAAGAAAAGCTGAAGCTTATCCAAATTACAATTAAGAAAAAAGGCAAAATCATCACCTGACAAAACAGAGAAGTAGTAATTAAGCAGAAGTTCGATGATACAAATTGCATTTTACATAGTTTCCATCATTTACAGTTTAGTCCTAATTTTCTATTCCTATTATCCTAATTCAGCATCACACCAGCATCAGGATTCAAACTACAGTTTTCTCGCTCAATTGCTGGCTACAATTCTCCCACCGTTCCTGCAGATTCACAACGACATTACCTGTAATGGGCATCTAATAACTCCATCTACGTCTCCGGCAGAGGAATCGACAGCGTTTCACATAAATTCTCCTACTCTCCAGGTGAAGGGAATTGGAAACAAAGGAAAGATATTTGTGCAATATCGGTCGAACCAATTTTGTCATCTTCAATGGAGGATCAACTATATTAGCACGAGACTTCAAAAATATGTGCACAAACTGTTCGATGAAATGCCAACTGATGAGGAGGATGGTATCAACAGTAGCAAGGAGAATCGTGTACTACAGTTGATGTAGCAAGCTACTGATTGAGAATTTATTGTTTCTGTTTCCATTAATTTCAGTTTGACAAAAGGTTGAGCAGAATTCTATTGTTGTTGCGACGTCAGCTGGTATTCCAGAAGCTTCGTTGAAGAGGAATATATCTGAAGTAGCCTGGCCATTGAAGGACATAATGTTTCCCACTTATGAGCCGCAATCAGAAGTAGGCGGTGTTGATTTTGATATGGCTGAGATGAGACAGAAATTCCACTGAAGAGGTAACGATTGGCAGAAGCCAAACCATTGGAGGAGAGAAAGCCTTGTTATTTTCTCCAATTAAGAAGGTGAATTCCGAACCCTTCAAATTTTTTTTCCCGATTTCAGGCATAGGAAAAATTCTATGAAGAAGGCTCACAAGGTGCTTGAGGAAATGCCAAAGTGGGATATGAATTTTTGAGTTCCATTGATTAGTGGGTATTCACAAAATAATGGAGCAGAAGATACTTGTAATGAGAATATTCTTGCTTCTACTCATTCAGAAACAGTAGTAAAACTGAAAGAATCACTTAACACGATTGGAAGAATTAACGAAGAAAACAAGGAGATTGAAGCATATCAGAATGTAGAAACGTATTCCAATGATGAGAAGGGTGTTGGAGAATTTAAGGAGGTGAAAATTGATGATTGCAGCGGCCTGAAGGTTGAGAAATTGGTGTCAGCAACTAAGAATGGTGCTCTGTTTGAGAAGACAGATTTTACTAAGAGGAAGAAAGGAATGATATGCCTCATTTAGGAATTCTCTCTGGCAAATGTAAACAACAACAACAACAACAACAATATAACGCAGTGAGTTCCTACTAGTGCGGTCCGGGGATGGTATGATGTACGCAGCCTCACCCCTATCCTGGGAGGGTAAAGAGACTGTTTTCGATAGAACCTAATGCTATCCTCGTCTTTGAGCACACAAACATTAAAATACACATCGTGGAAGGAAAACGCCCAGATCTTTCCAACAGACGGAGACTGGTATTGTTCCCAATCAAGTACACGTTTCCTTGCTAAACCAGAATAATGTTTGCTTGATGCTTGTGGTAATTGGTGCGCAAGAATGGATTGTTCGGTCAAGCTACTTGTAAAAGTAGCTGTTATAAATGTTGTTTCCTGGAACCTGATGACCTTTGGCTGTATTAAAACATTATGGGCCGGAAATACGTGAAGGATTGATACTGCAAGCAATATCATAATAAACATGCTTGCCGAAGGTGGAAGAATGGAGCATACATTGGGGCACTTCAAGAAAATAAATTTTACAGATATTTTAACATCCTTATTGCTTCAGATGGTCAATTTGAGGTATGTTCTGCAGTTTTCACAATGTTCAATAGAATGAGAATTAGAGGGAATTATGGCAGACGTTGCCTGCATTTTAGGTTTGACGCTTGCAGCAATAAGACAGGGGAAAGAGTTCAATGGATGCATTATCAGGTTCAATTTTAAGTCATGTATCCCTGTTAAAAATGGAATGATCTTGAAACTGAGAGTTTAAGTAATGCTATCCTTGTCTTTGAGCACACAAATACTAAATACATGCCATGGACAAATAATATCTGCATATGTGAATGTAAGACAATGGAGGGAAAACGCGCAGATCTTTCCAACAAACGGAGACTAGTATTGTTCCCAATCAGATACGCGTTTCCATGCTAATTCAAAGGCAGATATAGTACTCGGGCACTGGACATAAATTTATGTGTAAAATTATAAAGTTGCAACAAAACCTATAATCTAAGAATATAATAAGTAATGTTGATTTTTTAATCACACTTTGAATAAGAGGACCTTATCATTTCTATGCCACTACAGTATGCAAGTATATGGAAATCAATACATTTTAGTTATCTGTACATACAAAGAAGTATCATCTTTCAAAACTTCACTTTTGAGTGCAATGAAGAGGAAAAATAAAATATGGAATCCTACCTTTCTTATGGAGATATTACGTATAGCATATGCTATGAGAAGTAAGGAAGCAAATTAATCATGGAATTGAAAAATACTGCTCTACATACCGAGAACGAGCGGAATAGAGCTCCTCAGACTGGGGGGGGGGGAGAGAGTTTATAAGTAGGGTAAAAATGATAGGGATTTTGACATACCAATGATTTTATAAGGTCAATTAATATTGTTTACCAATGATTTTATTTTCACATTTGGTACTAAAAATAGATTTAAATACTATACCAAAAAAGATCCCTTCACACATTCCATGCGGTAAATAACTTGTTTAAAATAAAATAAAATCCCTAAATTAAAGCATTTCCCTAAAAGAGATCCTTATCAAATACTAACAATTCTCCCTAAAAGTTCTCGTTTCTATACTCCGTCTCCTCATCTCCATATTATGTTTGTCTAATATAATTCTCTTTTTTTTTTGGGTTGTATTCTCCAAAAAATATTTGCTAAGATGTAATAGTATATATATACATAATGTGTTGAAAGTGAAGATGGCGGAACTACATGTTCTTTTTGGGTGCTCAAGCACCCATTATCTTTGACAAGATTTAATAAATTTGTCTAGGTAATTATAAAAATATTTAGATAAATATTGAGTGAGCACCCATAACTAAACTCTTTTTTCCTCTTCTTTCAGAGTTTTATCAGTGAGCACCCACGACTTTAAAATCCTAGATCCGCCAGTGCAGTGAGAAGATATATATAATAAATTACTGTTTGATATTTTCCATAGTAATATCAAATACAAAAACTATTACATCTTAGCAAATATGATGACCAGTAGTGCACCTGTCTTAGCTTTTGCTATAAATCTTGCCAAGAGATGGAGTTAAGTTATGATCTCAAATGGAGAGATCTACCTACTCCCTCAGATTTTGCTCAGATAAACCTGCTACTTACCTTTGGGAGGGTAATTGATGAGTCTATTTCGGATGAAAAAAGAAAAAAATTCAATATCGGGTTGATCTTGCCAGGTATATGTTCCAGAAAGAACAAGGGTATTTAAATGCAACCTCAAAATGGCCATTTCCTGCTGTGAGTGATTTAACTTCACAACTACTGCCAGCTATTTTGATTGTGATACCATATCATATCACTATGTTATTTTAGTAGTAAACTACAACTCTCCAATGCATTACCAAGATCACAACAGATTAGAGAGCAAGTCGACCCTGTTGCGTGCATGCGTAGCAATATTAAAATGGTTGCTCATTGCCTAAATCATTTTCATGGGGAGGGTTAATCTGTAGTTTTCACAAAATGTATGATACTGCAAGCAGAAAGAAAAAAAAATTAATAATGAACTTGAAATGTGAGATAGAATGATGGCTAAAACCACATACAACTTTGTATCTGCCCATCAAGTTCAGAATGCTTGACCTGAATCATGGTGGTACAGCCAAAAGCCTCATCTATCAGATAATTAACCAGGATTAAGAAATGACATGAAAAATCATAGAAAGATGGATATTGCTATAGATATACCGAAATTTAACTGCAGATTATATATTCATAAGTTGAACAAGTCAGTAACTGTATGAAGGATGCTGAAAAAGCACAACAAGTTCCTCTCTGTTCCAACCAAATAACACGATTCCAAAAAGGTCTTATCCAATTGCAATAAAAATAAACAAACTTAAAAGAAATTTCAATATTCCGCACAAAATTAATTAGCCATGAGTATTAACAGCTTCCCAGAGCAGATTCCTAGCTTGCATTGCCGCTACCCTAAGTGTCCTTATTGTCCACCTATTGGCCTCAAAGAAAGACAAACTCCTGTAGGACAAATTGTGCTTTTTGCATAGCTCTTGTACAATAGGAGAAATCTTCCTCAATTGGCACCTAGGTAGCCTTGGAAATAAATGATGCTCAAGCTGGAACTGCAATCCTCCAAAAAACCAGTCCATCTGAGGAGAACAAGCAATATCAATTGTCCCAGCTGTTTGTTTCTCGAACCAATCGTTCCCCTTGGGCTGTCCAACATAGACATCGGCAGCAAAATGGTTCAGACAGAATTGAACGTGTTGAATCCCTGTCACGACAAAGCTTATGAGGACAAATAATACCCTTTCTGTCCAATTAGGCAAGGTGGAAACAAGAAGCGGAAACCAAGTCCAGAAAACCATGATCCCCAATATGTTCATAAGTCTATCAGTCACTTTTCTCTTCGAGAATAATAGCAACAATGTCTGAAGAAACAGATTCACCCTGGAAACACAAACGATTGGATAGAATGTAAAATGTTGATAGCTGACAAAGAATTTAGCCAGGGAATCGAATGTGAGCTCTCTTCCATAGAAGGTAGAGTTCAATGATTTAAACAAACTCGAGGACACTGCAAAAACAGGCAAGTGCTGAAGATCAGGGTCATAATCGAGGCTATTGCAGGCAACATGATGGGCATTATGTGTCCAATTCCACCAAGCAATACTAATCCCGGTGATGCAATTCCCTGCTAGAATTTGTACCAATTTGTTGAAACCGCGAGTTGTCATAATCAAGTAATGACCAGAATCATGACCCAAGTAAGAAACCTGCATCCAAGCCAACCCCAACAATCCTCCACAAAGCATGCGAATCCAGAAACTATTACTATAAAGAACACCATAAACAGTCAAGAAAAGCAAAAATGCTACAAAACATAAGGAATAAATCACCCCATGGCCTTTCTTTTCAAACAAACCAGCTTTAGCAAACTCAGAACAGAGTTTCCTATAATCCCTGGATACCTCAGATACCTCGTAATCCTCCAAATAATAGCCAGTAAAGAACTTATCAAGATATTTCCAAGCAGTACCTGGATGGAAAGCAATGAATGCATCAGTTGCTTCTTGGCCAGCCAGATTAAGAATAGGGATATCTCCACCTGGATGGTCCTTAATCCAATTTGTCGCATTATAAACTTTCCCCTGTATAGAGATCCACAAATCATCTGCTTTGTTATGCTTCTTTAACTCCTCAGCGGTAATGTACTTCTTAGAATCCCCCATTATTACAAAAAAAAACACCAAAGTTTGAATCTTTTTCTTTTTAATAAGTAAACAGACACCAAAACAATGAATCTATTCAAGAAATTGAGAAATGCAGAACAGATCTAAACATTAACGATAAAACAAACCCCAAAATGTATTTTTTGAACAAAAGAATAAGATGGGGTTGGTTCTTTATAGGGTTGTTTCGATCTGGTTCCTCAAAAAATTTGAACAGTGTCGATGCTTAGAGGGGAAGTTTTGATGCCTAAAGAGGATATGAGAGAGAGGAATGTGCCGAGACGGTGGGTTTCAAATGGTGTAATACTTGGATTAAAGAAATGGGTGTCACCAATGTTTTATAGATTTCTTTGCATTTTACACCCCTAAATTCACAAGCGGAGGCATAATTTTCACCAAAAATTTATATATATA